TTGATAAAATCCAAAGAAGAATCTGCAATGTTATTTGTCCTGAACTGAATATTTTCATGGTAAATGTTTCTATGGGCTTTCCTCTCTGGTATCTAGACTTTATGAATTTAAACATAGTACTAGATTGCCGGCAATTTCTCAACATTTTACAGTTCAAATGTTTTAGATTTAACCATAATTTCTATGCTAAGAGTTCCTTCTCACGTATTTCTCACTTTTGGAATTCTCTTCAGTTTTCTTGCTTTCCAGTCAAATTTGATCTGCCAAAATGTAAATGCAATGCCAGTCATTATCTTCTGTCTTAGTAATTCCTGTTCTTGTATTGTTCTCTCTCCTAAATGATGTATTCTTTTTTTTCATATTCTTCCACATTCACTCCTTGATTCGTAGCGACTTATTGCTTTGCTTTGGGTGAAATTATTAAATAAGTAGCAACAGGCGATCAATGAAGGAAAATCATAGGAAATTACAACGATTAGGGACACAATTTGTGAAAGTCTAGTGTGGTTTAGTGTTATGGGAATTTATCCACGCACACATGGACTCTCCCAGCTATAAATAGGAGCAGGTACTGCCTTTTAGAGATGGAAGTTTCCAGCAGTCAGCTCTGACAGTCGAACCGAATATTCTTGCAGTAACACTCTTGTTTGTATTACTGTTTCTGTTAATATATTTGTTTAACTCATTTCCTCTCTTGTGTCTTTATTTCTGGCTCTAATAAGGCCACAACATTTAGTCAGCATTGCTAGGGAAGTAAAAAAAAATCGCGCCTTATCATATACCACAAAAACCGAGTTATAGTGAAAGATCAAGAGACAGATCAGCAAGAATCTTCACCAATCAAATCATAAGCGGCACCGGAATAAAAAAAAAAAATGAAGGACTGGGTAGAGCTATGGATGGCAGAAATTGCTGAAAAGAATTGGTCGGAAATATTCGTTTGAGGCTAATAAGATAGATAGCTAAACATCTTTCTTCAAAAGGATCTTGGAATGTATGTATGCATATGCATAAACAGCTGGTTAAATTTCAAAGGCACTTCTAGGATTTCTCTAACAGTATAAGAAGGTGAGGCTAGGAACTTTTCTATCACATTTTACATTTTAACTCTACAGTCCGTTTGAAGCTATTATGCAAATCAAATAAACCTCAAGATTTCGAACTTGCTATCAACAATTCAATATTCGTAGGCAATATGACATTTAAAGAAATAGCAAAAAAAAAAAAAAAAATGGACTCAGTATGACCGAATGACCCCGATCGCTAAAACGATTATCAATATCAATGAAATAAAACTAAAATTGAAAAGCTGCGCCAAGTCAGCTTGGGGAAAAAAAATCAGTTAAGAAAAGAGACAAAAAAAATGATATTTAAAACTAGTAGATTTTATTAGATAGAAAAGAGAAAAATATATTTAGACACAACTAAGCAAGAATCGCTGATAAAAGCAAATAACGAGAAGAGAATATTGAAAATATCGTAAGAAATAAACCAAAGTTTTCTACCTAAAACAGAAAAATAAATCCGAAAGCAAAGGCGAAATAAAGAAAAATAAAATAAAGAATGACAGCCACTATTTCAATGCAATGTCAGATTCCGTTTTCAACGCCATCGCGGGAATCGGTAAATGCTCATGCAATTTTTTTGTGCTTGATCGGTTCGAAATGAAGACGTATGAACACAAAAATGGATTTGGACAGATGCAGGAAAATAATGGCAGTACTAATGAGTGTTCTAAAGAGTAGTAAAGAATAAAAGTCGACTCGTTTATCCCATGTAGGTAGTCGATATGTATTTGAAAATAGGACAAAGATATACTGTTTTTTTTATGATGAAGGCGAGTTGATATTGAATTAAGGGGAGGGCTGCAATCTGGAGAACGGAGGAAAATCGGGCTAAAATAACAAACAAAGAACGTAAGCAATATGAAATTTAAAGGAATAGAAACTAATGGACTCAGTATAACCGAATGACCCCGATCGCTAAAACGATTATCAATATCAATGAAATAAAACTAAAATTGAAAAGCTGTGCCAAGTCAGCTCGGGGAAAAAAAATCAGTTAAGAAAAGAGACAAAAAAATGATATTTAAAACTAGTAGATTTTATTAGATAGAAAAGAGAAAAAAAATATTTAGACACAACTAAGCAAGAATCGCTGATAAAAGCAAATATCGAGAAGAGAATATTGAAAATATCGTAAGAAATAAACCAAAATTTTCTTCCTACAACAGAAAAATAAAACCGAAAGCAAAGGCGAAAGATTGTTGCATAAAAAGCAAAGACGACAAAACAATGACTGTGTTAAATTTCTAGGTAGTTTCAATATGGTTTATTAAAGTTATTGGATTTATTATAAAAAAAACTTCAGTTTGAAGTCATTATTAAAAACAAAAAATCATTTTTTACCTCAATGACAAAATAATAAAACAATCAAAAATTGGTCAACATCTATAACAGAACAAATAACAATTATATATGAAGTCTTTGAAGCATTTACATCTTAATATAGCGACCCTTGTTCTCAGTAACAGCCAACAATCCATTGATTTTGTTAAATGTTATACTTTGGCAGGTTCTATTTCTATGGTGGTTTTAATTGCTTCTCATAGCTCTGCTTTGTCGTCATATTGTTTGCTACCTTTATATAATTTCATCATAGATTTTCGATTGGATTCCGATCGAAACTTGGTGGTGTCCATTCCATTATCTTCTCTACTGTGAACATTTTACTTTAGAAGTGCGGGCAACCTCAGAGACATGAGAAGGAATATTGTCGTGCATCAATACAAAGTCCAGTTTGAAATTGCGACGCTAAGACTTGTATAATTAAAAGAAAATCATTTCAGTGAAATCGCAAGTGTTAGCAGAATTTCACTCTTTCGTCGATTTTGATTGGTCCAATAATGGTTTGGTCGACAATTCCTGACCTCATCATCACCCTGCCACCTCCTTGTTGCTTTCTTTTAGCCACAAGCGCATCTGGATCGAATAAAAATCCATCCTTTGGCCTATACACCAAGGTTATCATGTATCACTCGAGTTTCGCCTCAATTTTCATGTATTTCTTGGCCCAATTTTGACGCTTTAAAATATTAGCTTTACTGAAAGGATTTTTGCCTATGTGATTTTTTAACAGATCTTACGAAGTCTTCTATAACTTCTGTCTTTCTTGACTCCCTCAATTTCAGCCACTTCAAAGATCTGAGCACTGCTTAAAAGTGGTTATTTCGCTATAAATTATTTCAGTTTATGTTTTCCCCAGAGGAGATTTCTTAAGGCCTTTTTCTTTGCTTTTCTTTCTTAATATAATTATGCTTTCAACAACACTGCTATCAATTACCTCTACAAAGCTTCTTTGATATATTCAATGTGGACGTTCCCTCACTCAATAACTTTGTTATTTTCTGTTTTTCAGCAGTTGCTAGACCCATCCCTTTAACCATGTTTCATCATATATTTTTTTAATTGGTATCACCTTATGAAAGGGAATAAAGCCACTAAGACACAAGGGGTTACAGGGTGAGGAAGAATTAGGAGCAGGAACATTAATAATGAGCGTGAAGAGGAAAGAGTAGTCAGGAGGTCAGTAGATAGCGAATGACATTGCATTTAGATCTTTGCAGATTAAAGTTGGCTCGAAAGAATGGAACCGAAAGAGAGTTACACAAGCGAGAAGTACGAGAAAAGAAACTGTTAGCATAGAATTTACGACTGCATCTAGCCAGGCCAACATTATATTGACGAGATCTCGACTCTAGTCTAGTACTGCGCTTAAATTCAAAAACTCTAGGTACCATAGCGAAGAGCTCATTCGAACAATTACGACGAGAGTACGACAGTAGGAAAGTGATTGAAGTCGAGTTTTATGGAAGAAAGAAACAAAAATAGTTTTTATTAAGTTTTAGAGGCCTTAAATTATTTATTTCATATACATATATTCTTATTATTCGTAAAGTTTTAAAACAGTTTTATTTATAAGCACTCTCGGCTTAATTCGCTGTAATCTATTTATTAATTCCAATGGCTGTATTTTTCTTATCTCTGTATATAGTAATTATTGCCGGTGAAATGAAACGTGATGGGAAGTGGGTAAAAACGGAAAACATAATTACCTTCTAAGTATCCGATGAAGGGTGTCCAGTCCACCAAAAAAAAAAAAAAAAAAAAAAAAAAAAAAAGAAAAATTACCGTAAACAGCTTAAAAAGAATTTGCACCGTTGTGATTGGCTGTTGGTCAATCTCCAATCAAATGCGTAATAACGGGGTATATTTATAAAAGTCAGCGTAAACAAGCATTTTTCAGAGAGCGTTTCAGAGTCTGATCAGCTCTGAAGGGGTCGATTTGGTGAGGTCAGTATGATGTTTGAAAGACCCGAAACTGCCCAATGATCCTTTTCTAGAACATCACTGACGACGCCCTCTAGCGCTAAAAGAGCGTATATTAAAAAAAAAGTATTAGTTCAATCTGTTTAATTGTAGTTTTTATATTAAATCCAATAACTTTAATAAAACAAATTGAGTCTACCTAATAATTTAACTCAAGCTTTGTTTTGGGGTGTAAATTAAACGATTAAAATTTGACAAAAATTTTTCAAACAAATTCGAGTTATTGAGCTTTATGTGGTTTGCATAATAACTTTATACGGACAGTGGATACATTTGAAGTGTAATTCTAACCTTAAACATTAAAATAATAACAAGGATTTCTGCTGAGTTTAATATTACTCTCAAAGAAATTCTAATAATTTCTGTAATCATGACCTGACAACTATAAAAATAGAAGGTATTTGCTGGTTATGGAGAAAATCTCCCACGTTGAGATTTATTTGTGATTGCATAAAAAAGAGAAAGAGAAAAAAATTGGGCGAATAAGATAAATTGATGTTTCAGATAATAACTGATGATAACTTCTACTGAAATAGGATATCACAAAATCTAGATAACAATTCGCTCTGTACACAAGAAATATTCAAGAAAAAATAACGTAATAATCAAAAGTATAAATATGCCTCATCATTACATCTATCTATCTATCTATCTATCTATCTATCTATCTATCTGATTGTTTGTATGTCTCTACATCTGTCTGTCTCTATATCTGTCTGTCTGATTGTCTGCCTGTCTGTTTCATTCTCTATCTATCTATCTATCTATCTATCTATCTATCTATCTATCCATCTTGTTTGTATGTCTCTACATCTGTCTGTCTCTATATCTGTCTGTCTGATTGTCTGCCTGTCTGTCTATCTATCTATCTATCTATCTATCTATCTATCTATCTATCTATCTATCTATCTGATTGTTTGTATGTCTCTACATCTGTCTGTCTCTATATCTGTCTGTCTGATTGTCTGCCTATCTATCTATCTATCTATCTATCTATCTATCTATCTATCTATCTATCTTTGTCATTCTGTATGTCTGTCTGTCTATCTTTTCTCATTCTGTCTGACTATCTATCTATCTGTTTGTTTGTATGTCTCTGTCTCTGTCTATATCTGTCTGTCTGATTGTCTGCCTGTCTGTCTCTATATCTATCTATCTATCTATCTATCTATCTATCTATCTATCTATCTATCTATCTATCTCAGTCCATTATCTATCTATCTATCTATCTATCTATCTTTTCTCATTTTATCTATCTTTTCTCATTCTGTCTATCTATCTATCTATGAGAATAGTGCCCGCAAAGGAGACGGTCTTATTCACGAATGGATCGGTACTTTAGTCGAGAATCAGAGTACCTGTGCGTTCTACCGCGGAACTTACCGTCGGTTTCCGGCCTCCTAGAGAATGTATTATGTGTTCTTGACTTTCTGTCTTTATTTTTTTCTTCCATGTGCTGTCATTTTTTAGGACATAGTCGATCATGGCTCTCCACAACTTACTATTCCTTGTAACTCTTAGCTTCACCATAATGGCTTGTAAATTTTTATTTCTCCAAAACGAAACTGTTCTTATTTAACCACCACAAAGAAAATTCCCTGTCCCCTTATCAGCATGGTTGATGCTCGATTTTGCGAGGGCTTCTCACCTTCTCGGCCTCACGTTTTCCACTGACTTGAGGTGGAACAACTACATTGAATCAATAGCTGCATCTACTGCAAGGAAAGTTGGTTCTCTGTGTCGTGCCAGAAGGTTTTTCTTGTCTGAGTTTATCTTACACATCTACAAATCTACCATTCGTCCATGCACTGAATACAGTTGCCAAATATGGTCTGGTGCCCTTGCTGTTCATCTCGAGGTCCAAAGAGGGATCTGCAATGTAGTCGGTCCTGACTTCATATCTCGACTATAGTCACTTTCTCAAGGACATGATGTGGCTTCCCTCTGTCTTTTTTACAAATATTTTCATGGCAATTGTTCTGACGTGCTACCTCATCCTGTTCCTCCGACTACATGAATTTAAGCGTGCTATTAGATTGACATCTCGGTCCCACACTTTTACTGTTGAAACAGTTAAATGTAACCACTACTTCTACTCCAACAGCTTCATCTCTCGCACTTCCTGACAGTTGAACTTCCTTCCTCTTACTTGCTTCTCTGATAACTACAATCTTCAAAAATTTGAACGCAATATCAATCGTATTCTTCTGATCCCCATTCTTTATTTTACCTAGACTTTTCTCGTACTTTCACTCTCTGCAACCCCTCTCTTGCGTACTACTGACACTTCTGCCTTGCTTAGGGTGAAATGCCAATATATATATATATATATATATATATATATATATATATATATATATAGGAGGTTTTGAAATAATCATTATTAAGTAATTCATCGATCACATATTCCGTTGGAACTCATCCGATTTTTTCTCTCTCTCTCTCTCTCTAAATATATATATATATATATATATATATATATATATATATATATATACAATACATCAGAATGTGCCACTCCATTAAGTATTTGACTCCTCCTCTACTTTTTACTAGAGCCAGATCAGGCCAAAAATGATATGGACAAGAGCTGCCTAGTCTTCTTTCCAGTCTCGTTAGAGTCCAAAAGGTCTCCGCTTGTATATGGGAAACAGATTATTTCCCAACCTACAATCCCTTTCCCACAGACGAAATGTTGGGGGACCCTCACTGCTCTATCGCTATTTCCATGGAGGCGAACTATATTCTTTAGTTCCACAAATTATAACCTTCTCGGCTAAGAACCGCCATGCCACGCACATTGTAGTGAACCACCATCATTCTCTTTGTATTCCAATGGTAAGATGTAACTTCCATTCGAGCAGCTTCTTCCCACGAACCACTGTTTTGTGGAACCAACTCCCAGGAAGATGCTTCGCCGATCACTACCTTAATCTTGTTCAAGTATACGGTTACCCTTTATCTTCCGTACATATCCTCTTACTTCGTACTTCTTACTAAGTAACATTCTACTTTGAGTGGCTCCCGGGTCATTTACAGTGAATATCATTGTAAAAAAAGACAAAAAAGTCCCTTCCAGTCCATGTCCTTTTAGACACGAGCTCGAGATGTAGGTTACCCACTGATTGTCCTTGTCTCCTTTGCCTTCAATATGTCTCGGGAGGGTCAAATTCTCCTGTCACTTGTCTATGGGTTCCCGAAATGTTATTTGTTTTTTTGTTTTTTTTATATAATCGACATTTCGCCCCAATTATCCTTAAAACTTTTTCGTTGCCTATGTCTTCAGTCAGAAAAGCTTTGAGGTGCTATAGTACATTTCCTTATTGCACTAAAGAGCAAGGATTGGTAGATACAGACGCCAGTGTGACAAAGGTTACAGCGCCGAGGCATTTTTTTTTTTACCTTGGCCCATATGTCCGCATATATATATATATATATATATATATATATATATATATATATATATATATATACACACACACACACACATATATATAAAAGGTGATATATATATAAAAAGGTGAGGTATGGACACACACGTGTTTATGAATACATGAGTTTGCATCTGTACACCACGTTCCCAATAGTTATATTCACACACACACACACACACACACACACACATACATACATACATACATACATACACACACACACATATTTATATATATATATATATATATTATATATATATAATACACACACACACACACACACCCATATATATATATATATATATATATATATATATATATATATATATATATATATATATATATATAATATATGTGCCAAGAACTTCCTAAGTCCACCATCTTCTTTTATATTTATATATATATATATATATATATATATATATATATATATATATATATATATTGAGAGAGAGGGAAAGAAAGAGAGAGAGACAGAGAGGGAGAGAGAGGGGGAGAGAGAGGGGGGGAATGTATGTATATCGGTGTCAAAATGAAATAAAATATTTTACACCAGGAACGCCTACATTTGATGTAACAAAATCGTTTTGGACATTGATGTGTGTACAGATGAGAGTCTTAAAGTACACACACACACACACACACACACACACACACACACACACACACACACACACACACACACACACACACACACACACGTGTCCATCTGCGGGTGTGCGCGCACACATATACACGCGCGCGTATTGTGGTATATATGTATACAGGTATAGAGTAAGTTTACTTGAGTCTGACCCCCTACCACTCTTGTTGGAATCGAATTTCCCGACTGCATTATTGGCCTGCGAGTCTATAGCTTGTTAACCGTTGCTTTGTGGCCAGGCGCCCTTGACATAGGCACATTTAGAAACAACGGGGTTTCCTTTTGAAAACAAATCATCGTTATTTTCGTTTTGGGGGACGTATTTTTTTTGTAGTTATATATTTTTTTTACTCACAATAAGCGGCAAAATATGAAAGAAAACAAAAAGAAAGAAAAAAAAAGGTTCGCTAGACCGTGATAAAATTAATAAACCAGTCTTTCTTGATTTTTTAATATTTTTTTCCTTCAACATCTAGATACATCATATTCTCTGTTTTATCACTTAATACAATATAATATTTTGATGGATATGTCAGAACATAATGAAAACTTATCAACCATTCTCTTGAGTAAATAATTCCATAAATTCCTCTTTGGTGGCTGAAGTAGGTGTATATTTGTCACAGTTGCCAAACTAAATATCCAGGGTTTAGGATATTGATTTTCACGGCATCCAAGGCTATTGCTATGTAGAAGATCAATCTTGTATTATCTCCGTGACAAAAACCAGATTACTATCTATAATCGCAATTTTACACTTTAGACACGTGATCATTAACAGAAAGAAAATGATCGTCGTTGCTTTGACGAAACTTTTCCCTGCTCAGGTCTGACTTTATTATTTACTAGCAGGAGAGCCCGGCGTTGCCCGGGGATGTAACAGTAAGAGATAGATCAAGTATCGACCATCATAAAGACTGAAAAATAAAATTGACAGAGATTATTGTTTAAGGTTGACGGACACGCATGTCTTAATTAGTGTTTTTTTTTTACGAATTGATCAAATCCAAACTCAAACAAAAACATTGTTTTCAATCGTTATGAGTCTATCAATTGAATAGAATTTTATTATAAACAATTGTCTTGTAAATGGAATATTTAAAGCATTCTGAATGTAAAAATAAAAGAAAAAGTGTGCACAATAAGAAACACTACTGCCAAAAAAAAAAAGTGAAGTTTTGTTGAAATCGGTTGAAAAATGTAGGAAATCCGATCCCATATATAAACGAACACAGACACACACAAACAAACAACCTGGGTTTTATAATAAGTATAACTCGATATGAGTTGTCCCCCTTTCATTCTCGCGATGCCTCTTAATCGTGTTTTCAAATTGATTCCAAAATAGCGATTTATTAAGCGTAGCACAAGGCCGAAAGTAGGGAACACTAACTGAGGATCGAACTCAATACTCAGTTGTAATTGGTCTGGTGACACATCACAGGTACGCCTTCACAAAATGTGACTGTCGTCGGGCGATTTTCATTGAGAAGATTTGATAGATCGTTGCTAGTATAAAAATCTCAATACAATGGACTTGTGCCAGACTCTATGAGTAAAAACCTACAACAATTACACGAGTGAATTAACACACACACGCACACACGCACGCACATGTGCTTGTATGCATATATAGTGATTTTCCAAGCATAGCTTAGATGTGGCACAAAGCCGAAAGTATGGAGTATCAAGTGAGGATCGAACTCACTACTCATTCAAAATTGTTCTTGCAAGACAAACTTGCTAACTATTACAACGCCTCTAGGGCCCCTTACAGTGATTTTCCAAGCATAGCTTAGATGTGGCGCAAACACACACACACACACACACACACACACACACATATATATATACGTAATATTAATAAAATATGTTTATTATAATAGATTGCAATAAAAAATTTTTTTCATAGCTCGACATCTTTTCTGTAGCGATTTAAAAATGTTTTTATTGTAATCTATTATAATAAAAATATTTTAATAATATTATTTTGTTCTACGTTATATTGGGCAGATAGATAGACAATGAAGAGATTAGGATAGATAGATAATGAAGAAACTATATATATATATATATATATATATATATATATATATATATATAGATAGATAAATAGATAGGATAGATAGATAATGAAAAAAAACTTAGGATAGATAGATAGATAATAGAAAAATGAATGTAGATAGATAGATAGATAGATAGATAATGAAGAGATTAGGATAGATAGATAATGAAGAAACTGGTAGATAGATAGATAGATAGATAGATAGATAGATAGATAGATAGACAATGAAGAAACTGAGATAGATAATGAAGAAATTGAGATAGATAGATATATAGATAATGAAGAAACTGAGATAGATATATAGATAGATAGATAGATGAATTCTACTTAAATAATATTTAAATATAAAAAAATTTAAAAAAATCGTAATATAAATATACTTGATATAGAAAATAATTTTACTAAATGTAAGTAATTCTAATAGATTTACTTCAATTAAATGAAATATGTAGTCTATAAAATCTAATAATGAAAATATTTTAAAGTTGTAATTAAAATTGTAGTTCATTAAAATGAATTCTAACCTAAACTTCTTAAATTGTAATTAAATAAATAAATAAAGTTTACTAAATCAGAGAAATGAAAATTTTACTTAGATAATATTTAAATATAAAATTTTTAAAAATTTGTAATATATTGATGTGATAATAATTCTACAAACTCTAAGGGATTCTAATTACATTTAATTGTTCTTCAAAGAAATATAGTATATTAAAAATTAAAAGTAAAAATATTTCAAATTGTAGTTAAATAAAAAGCATTCTTACCTAAACACCCCCAAAAATCTTTAAATATACGAGGAAAAAAATGCCGTAAGAATTTTAGCCGTTAACAATAAAAAATTAAAAAAAAAAAAATCCAGACGACACGCTTTTAACGGAAGTTAGATTTCATTGAAAAATACATCCCTACCCACTACCAAAACGTTGCAATAACTGATACATTAAAATATAGACACCGAGACAACCCTTGTCTGGTAAATTGGATTCATCTGTATACATTGGAAACATGAATTATGATTTTAGCTGTGTCTTTAAAATCCAGTAATTTTTAAAGTTACTCCAAAATTCGCTTGAGGATGAAATGGAACTAATGTCTTTAATTTAATTACCAAATTAAATTCGGGGCTTTTAGCTTCCATTTTTGAAATATGGTTAGAACTGTGTAGCGGAAAAACCATATTTTAAACCAATTATTTATAATTATATATATATATATATATATATATATATATATATATATATATATATATAAATAGATGATATCCGAAAGATTTTAATTTATTCTCTTAAACGTCATTTTTTTTAAAATGTATATTTGAGTAGATACTTTGTTTGTATTTATTTATTAAACTGTATATTTTATGTATTTATATCTATCAGCCTAAATATTTCGAGAAATCTTGTTCGAAAAATATGCATTCAAAAGCACTATTCGGTTTTTATTTGATCAGGATGTCCTACGTGGCCGAAATGCTCTAAGGTACGTCAGAGCTAATGACGGTTTCTCCTTGTGGACACATGTTCGTATCCTTTGTCTAAAGGAGGAAGAGACATTAATATCAGCGATATAGCATTTGTAGATATAGATAGTGTAGGATCAATGGTGGATGATTACTTATGTTCTTGCTTATCATCGAGACTGTCGAAAGTTCTTAAACAGAATAAAAACATAGTATTTGCATAATTTATCCACAAATTTCATCGAGATGTGCAACAATTTATTTGAATTAAACAGACGAACAGTATCTCTTGAATTTAATACAAAGTTCGCTTTCATCACCATGGTCGATTTGTCAGGACGATGTTATCCCAGCGGGCAATTTCTTTGGAAAGTGCCAGAATAACATATCACGGGTTGATTTATGCTTTGTGTGCTAAATTTTCTCAAGTCATCGTGACTGAGGGTTTTAGTGTACTGGGGTTGTTCAAACTGGTGATCATGGCAGATTATTATATCCAGGAAACTGAAACTATGAATCTGGATTGTTGCACTACAAACTACAGGTGTGCACTGTTGGTGATGAACACACAAATGCGCCTGAACACGAAGGGATTGGCTAGCCGCCCTAGCAGATGTTTGCACCGACGAGATATATATATATATATATATATATATATATATACACCGGGTACAACAGTAGAATTGTCCAAATCGTGTAACAGCAAAATTGTCCAATTATTAGATTAAGATTACCGTTATATTCAAGATATCTTACTGGAATTCTCTGAGGCTTTTGAAAAACTATTGGACTCTGCATTGAACAATAAGAATATATTTAGCTCTGAATTGAAATGATGATCTATCTTTTTCACCCATATATATATATATATATATATATATATATATATATATAAAGAGAGAGAGACAGACAGACAGAGAGAGAGAGAGAGAGAAACAGATGCAGTGAGAGAGAATATGATCCTATTGAAGGTTCAATACGATGATTGCATTCATCTGAAGATCGTATTGAAACGTGAAACTGACAGTCGCCAAGCAGTGTTGATGTCTACACTTTCTGCATATATATATATATATATATATATATATATATATATATATATATATATATATATAGTGGAAATAAATATTCGTACACTTGAAAAATTGTATTTTTATAAATGTAAAAGCCTTAAATAAAACAAATCTCGGCACATTTTTTGTATAAAGACACACACTATTAAAAAATAATAATAAATTTAATTAATTCTTATTCTAACAGAAATTAATGCATTTTTTAAAATTCAAACTGGTGAAAAAAGTATTTGTACAAATCAATTATTAGAATAAAATAATCAATTAATTATGAAAAAATTATATTCTAGAATGTTCCAGTAATGTTATCAGTAATTATAGTTAACGCTATTAGCCATTATCAGAGCATTCTGCAATTTCTTGTCTTACGAGAAGGTTCTAATAATGCCTAAAGGTAAAGAATTGACTATTTCACAAAAACAACACATTTTGTCTCTTTGGAAAGATGGGGACAGTTACAGAACGATTTCTAACAACCTGAATATTCCTTTTTCTACAATTGCTTCGTTCATTGCAAGGTTTAAAACTCGTAACAGCGTCGAAAACCAAAGACGAACAGGTTTTCCGAGGAAGATTTCTCTAAGATCAGCAAGGATATTAGGACGCCAGATCCAACAAAATCCACAGGTTCCCCGAGAAGAGCTGCTGGAACATCTGCGTGCATTAGGAATTAAAGTAACCAAGCATACAATAAATAATGAACTACACAAAAACAATCTGAAATCACGCATCCCAAGGAAGACTCCACTCCTCTTGAAACGACACAGAGATGCTAGTCTAAAATTCGTTAGAGAGCATAAGGATAAAGAATATTCGTTTTGGGGAAAAGTACTATGGACAGATGAAACTAAAATAGAGTTGTTTGGTCATAATTATCGAAATCATGTGTGGAGGAAGGACGGTGAAGCCTACTTACCAAAGTATACGTTGCCAACTGTAAAGTTTGGTGGTGGCAGTATCATGATCTGGGGTGTTTGTCTGTAAAAGGTTTTGGCAAAATATCAATAATAGATGGCAAGATGAATGCCGAAATATACCAGAAAATCCTGCAAGACAATTTAATGCGTTCTGTTGAGAGACTTCAGCTACCTCCTGATTGGGTTTTCCAACTGGATAATGATCCTAAGCATACCACTAGATCTACAAGGAAATGGTTAGCTGAAAGTAACGTTGATGTCTTGCAATGGCCTAGTCAGTCCCCAGACTTGAACCCAATCGAGAATTTATGGAGAG